GACCTGAAGCCGCAGGCGATCCCCGAGTGGCCCGTGTGGCAGCAGCTCCTCAAGCTGAAGCCTCAGGCGGCGCGGCAGGTGGCGACTTTCGTGCGCCAGGAGCGGGCGGGCGTGGGCTTCACGTGGAACCTCGCCGCGGGGCACTGGGACCTGGACCAGCAGCGCCTGCTCGCCGCGCTCGAGAGGGATCCCGCGTTGCTCGCCGCGGTGGAGAAGGGCGCCGCGGCTGCAGAGACGGACAAGGGCGTTCTGATTGCCCTCAACCAGTTCCGTGCCCGTCACGGCGCTGACGGCGAGCGGGCCCCCCCCTCTTCTCTATGCGCTGTCTTTACGCGGCAAAGCTTGGGGGAGTGCCGCAAGGGATGAGCCGAGCCAGGATCGCGCCGAGGGGGGAGAGGGGCCTGGCCCCCCCGCCCCTGGCGCGACCCTGCGAAGCAGGCGCTGGCCTGCGCGACGCGTGGGTCGCCCTCTTTGCGCCGCACACAGCGCGATTCGACCCCGCTTTTACTCCTGCGCGGTAGCAAATCCTGTGATGCTCACCGAGAGGAGAGGTGCGGGTGGGTGGGCAGAATAACACGCGCTTTCGCCGCGTTCGCAAAGCGCACGTTCCGCGGGGGGGGGGGGGCCGCGGCCTGCGCGCGCTCTCTCTGTGGAAGCGCCGAGCGCGCGCGGTTCCTCCCGCTCCGCCGTCAGCCCCCTATGCCCTAGCCCAACCTAACCCAACGCCGGGGCAGAAGCGACTGACGGCGAGCGGGCCCCCCCCTCTTCTCTATGCGCTGTCTTTACGCGGCAAAGCTTGGGGGAGTGCCGCAAGGGATGAGCCGAGCCAGGATCGCGCCGAGGGGGGAGAGGGGCCTGGCCCCCCCGCCACAGGTAGTGTGGCCGGACCCTTCCCCACTTGGCGTGTTCCGGTCCACGACCTCCTTTGCCACCCTCGTTCCCTTTTGCTGTTAAGCCGGGGGTGCGTCCCCTGCGCCTTGCTTCCGGCAGCCTCTTATCTCTGGCCCGCGGGCTCTGGGCGGGCTGGGAGCGGGCGAGGGGGAAACCAAACGGGGCGCATTGGCCCGCCGCCGGCTTTTCTACGGGGTTCCAAGAGGCGCGTTCCCCCACACCGGCCGCTCGTCCGGTCCGGCGTGGCTGAAGGCCCCCGGGCTCCGCCGATGAGATTTCATGACCTCGCCGCCCACCTGGAATGAAACCTCATGAGCAGAGACTTCGCGGGGGAACGCCACCGCTTGGCTCCCTCTTAGCGCTCGCCCTTTTTGCTGATGGCCGCCGACGGGCTGCGTCTCCTGGTCGCGCACCCCCCCCTTGCTCCCCCGACTTATCTGGTTCTTGGGCACGCTGCATGCAGCCACTACTCGGCTCCGCGCGGGCCGCGGTGGGGCGGGGGGAGGGGCCGGAGGAAGCCACGGGCGCATTGGCCTCTCGTCGGGGCGTTCATCGCGATACACCAGGCGCTTCCCCCCAATTATATCGAAGGAAGCTGCCCGCAGGGGCTCCAGCCGGATCACCTGCGAAAGCCCACGGGGCCCGAGGCCGGGGGGGAGAAGCGACCGCCTCCGCTGCCACCGGGCTGCGCCAACCCGGCCGTGCCGCACCTCGCCACCTGTGGCTGGTCCGGGCTGGCGCGGCTCGGCCCGCGGTAAGAGGGGGGAGGACGCCTGGTGTCTTAGGGCGAGCGCTTCATTATGATACCTCGACCGAGGGGCTGCGTCCCCGGAGCCGGCCCCCGCCTCCCAATCCTTGCGTTTGGGTTTCGGGCGCCGCGGACCGAGACCGAAGGGGCCAAGGAGCGGGGGCGGGCCAGGAGGCCGGGGCCGACGCCGGGGGAAGCCGCGGGGCGCATTGGCCCTCCAACGGACGATTTTCTTCCTTGCTGGTGAACTATTCCTTCCCCTTGGCGCGCCTCGGCCCCTCGTCACCCTGAGAGCCCTGCATTCCACCGTGCCCAGGACGGCCCCGGGACCCCCGCCGCGGAAAACGGGGGCGGAGTGCGCCGAGGCGGCGTTCTTGAGGGGCGGTTCTGCGCCGACCCTTCTTTAGGGGGGGGTCACTCTACTTCGACTGCCCCCCGATCCTTCTCGCGCGTGCGCGTTTTGGCCTCCCGCCGCTCGGCAGCGCGCAGCCTCCGCGGCGCAGCGGGGGGGGGGCCGGGGGGCGCCGCCGGCCGGCCACTCACGGCGGCTCGGCGCGCCGGCGGGGGCGGGCGCCGGCGCCCATGCTTGTGGTGGAGCCCGGGCGGCGTGGGGTGGCGGTGCGGCGGCGGGCACGCGCTGAGGGCCACGCGTGCCAGGCGCGGTCGCGGGGTGCGCGTCGTCGCCGCGGCCTGGCGGAGGTACCAGGGGCGGGGTGCGCGACCTTCCCCCGGGCGGCTGCCTGCGAGGGCCGTGCTGGCGAGGGCTGGGATTGCTGGTGCGGCTGGCGCGGCCGTCGTGGGCACGCGCGCCGCCTGAGAACTCACCGCGTGGGCTGAGCTGGCTGCGCTGCCGGCTGCGGTCCGGCTGTGAGCGCGGGGAATGCGAGAGGCGGGGCGGGCGTCTGTGCCGGCGCCGCGGTGGCGAGGTATTAGGGGCGCCCGAAGCCCGCGTGGGCGCCAAGGTCAGGCTAAGCGGTGGCGTGGTGTCAGGGGCGCCCGAAGCCCGCGTGGGCGCCCGGTCCAGGGTAAGCGGTGGCGTGGTATTAGGGGCGCCCGAAGCCCGCGTGGGCGCCCAGTCCAGGCTAGACAGGGGACCGCTCTGCGCGTCGGCGGCCTGGAAGTCCGCTTCCGCGCTTGCGGGGGCTAGTCAAGCGTGGCGGAACCAGCACGCGTCGCCATGCTTGCAAGTCTTCCCGTTGCTGAAGTGCCAGCACAGGTCGCCCTTGGGGGCGCGCCGGGCGGGCTCTGCGGGTGGCGTGGCCTTGCCCTTGCTCTTGCCCTTGCCTTTGCCCTTGGGGGGCTGGGCCGGGGCGCTTGGGTAGCCGGCTGCGGCGGCGGCCCGCTCGCGGCGCTCGCCGCGGGTGAGGCGGGGGCGCTTCGGGAGGCTTTCGCCACTGCCGTCGAGGGGAGCGCCTGTGGCGATGGCTGGGCCGGGGCCGGAGTGGCCGGCTTGGCGCGGCGCGAGCGCGAGCCGGCCGTCCAGCTCGTCGGCGTCCGCTGGCAGGGAACTGCGGACGGTGGCGTCCAGCTGGTCGGCGTTCCGGCTTGCTTTTGCCCACTGGCTCTGGAAGAGGCACAGCGCGTGCTGCACCTCCGTGAGCGTCATGGGGCGGTAGCCGGGCATGGGCTGCCTGGAGCGCCGGACGCGGCTCCAGAACCGCTCGTGGAAGGTCACCAGGCAGTCGATGTCTTTGACCCAGCCGCAAAGGAAGAGCAGGTTCTCGATGAGGTAGCACGCCTCCTCGAGCTCGACGAGGCCGCCGGCCGGCGCCTCGGAGATTGCGGGCATGCGCCAGGCGAGGACTCCGCCGACGCCGGGTTTGAGCTCGGCCGCGGCGGGCCGGGCGCGGGCTGCTGCGTCGGACTGGACCTTAGTGGCCGCGACAGCTTCGAACTCCTGGTTGACTCGGCGGAGGCGTTCCCACCGGCCCCACATCCGCATGGACGGGATGCGGCCAGAGTCCACTTCGCAGCGCCGCGCCGTGTTTAGCGCCTGGAGTCGCTGCTTGCGGTACTCCGGGCTGAGCTCGTAGTACTCCTCCGCGGTCGGGTCGCGCGCTTCGACCGGCGTGGCCTCGGGAGCGCTGCCCGCGGTGGCGTCTTTCTCGCAGTGCTTGTAGCACTTCTCGTAGAATTGGCGGACCTTGGCATAAGCCCCGGTGCCGGGCTTGACGCTGTCGCAGGCGGCTGCGATGGCCTCCAGGAACGCGACGTCCACGGTCTTGGTGACGGTGGCGCCGTTCTCGCCCTTGAGGAACTGCGGCGAGACGCTGTCCACGACCAGCGCGGCGTCGTCCAGCCCCTGCGCGGTGAGGTGTTCGCGGACCTGCAGAGGCAGTGCCGCGACCCAGTCGCCGAACGCGGCCATGACGCTGCCCGGCGGCGGCGGCGGCGGGGCGGGGGGCGAGGGCGCAAGCAGCTCCAGGGAGGCGCGGCTGCGGGCGGGATCGCAAGAAAGCACACAGGCACCGCGCCGCCGACCAACCCCCGGAGCCCAGGACCAGGAGGCCGCCGTGGGCCGACAAGCCCCGAACGGGCAGGGCCCAACCAGGGCCGCAGGACCGGCAGAACGGCGGCGCAGTGACTGGGTGGCCGAGGCCGCGCATCGCAGGTTGGCTCGGGCAGGCAACGCCCCCCCCGCGCAAGCCACCCCCAGGGGGAGGGGAAACAGGGGGGGAGAGGGCACACCGCCCAGGCAGAAGCCCCGGCTGCACACGGCGGGACATTGCCTGCCCGCCCCTGCGAAGCTCCTTCCCGAACCCACGACGCGGGGGGGGGGGGGGGGCGGCGCCAGCGCAGCGATCGGCCCCGCCCGGGGTTGCGCCTGCGCACGCCGCCAGACGGCGGACCGCCCAGCGGACCGCCCGCTGGCGCGCGCGGGCGCGCGCCCCGCGGTGGGGCCGAGCGCGACGGCGGCATTCCGAATCTGTTCCCCCCAGCCATTCCCGCTTGCTTTGTATGTCTTTCCATTAAATCTCCTTCCCGGAGTCGCTGCCAGGAGGAGGGGGGATTTTCGCCCGCAACCCCCGGCCACTTGGCGTCAGCGCACGCGCACGCCCGAGGGGAGCTGCCCGGCAGCCCACCCCGACAGCGCGCGCGGGCGCCACCCAGAGACGGCCAGGGCGTCGGTGAGGAGGGCCCCCTTCCACCCGGCGCGCATACAGGGGAAGCGGGGCCGGCGGTCTCACTGGACTCGCCACGCCGTTGCAGTTGCTGCCGGCTCTGGCCCGCGCCCTCTCACCTGCAACCGGGGGGGGGGGGAGGGGGAAGGTGGGCAACCGGCGGGACCTGAGCTTTTGTAATTCATCGCCGACCAGCTCCCACGCTTGTACGGTCGGCCCACTAGCCCTCGCCCGGGCCCTCACCTTCGGCTAAGCAAGCGGGAATTGCAGACCTTGCAGATGACGTACGCGGGGCCCGGCGGCTGCAGGGACCACTTCGCCTGGTTCACCGCGAAATCGCACAGGTTCGTTACGGGCCCGTTCGGCGTCTCGACGATGAGGCGTTCCATGCGCCGGCGCGAGCGCTGCCGCTCTGCGGGCGGGCAGGGCGGCACTGCGGGGATGGCTGCGTGGTAGTACGCAACGGACTTGCACAGCCCGGTGGAATCGGCTACGAGGTACCCGAGCTTGCTCACGGGATGCTGCCACCCGCCTAGGTTGTTCGCGGCCGCGCCTGGCGCCGCAGTGGCGTCTGCGGGCGGTGGCGCGGCGGCGCCCATCGCCAAGGCGCCAGCCGCCTCTGGTTGCTGGGTGCTGTGGGCAGCTTCGTTGGCTGGCGGGCCGTGGTCTGGGAGGGCGTGCACCTGCGCGGGGGCTGCTGCGCTTGCGGGAACCTGTGCGGCCGCCTGGCTGCGGGCGGGTGTGGGCTGCGGCGCCGGCGCGGTGCCGGTGCCGGCCTGCCCGTCGGCTGACGCGGCCACGGGTGCGTTGGCTGGTGGGCAGGGTTCGGCGTGCGACGGCGCGGCAGCGGGCGCTGGTGCCGCGGGCTGGCTGCCAGGTTGGGCGCCATCACGCCACTGCATTCCGGCTGGCGCGTCTGGGTTGAAGTTGCCTCGCACGATGTGTTCGAGCAATGTCCGCAGCTTGGAGACTGGCGCCGCCAACACCGTGACGTTGTAAGCGCACACGACTCTGCCGACCCCAGCGGAGCGGTGATGCCCCAGCACCTCGAGTTCGCGGTCGGTGAAGATGCCACTGCTGCCAGCCCACGTGAGGATGGTACGCTTCGCAGAGTGCAGTCCGATGCCCTTGGCCTCTCGTGGTGAGAGGCCTGCCGCTCTGAGGGCGCGTCGCATGGCTGCTACCCACTCGTCGGGTTCGGCCGCGCCGGGCGTCGCTGCCGCGGAGAGGCGTTGCGGTGAGGGGACCGCGAACTCCGCGTCCTCTGCAAGGCCAAGTGCTCTGAGGTCTGATGCATAGCCGTGGGCCCAGCCTGAGGGCGGCTGGGAGATGCCTCGCAGGGGGGCGATCCACGGCATGCCTCCTCGCAGGCGCGTCGCCGTGGCTTCCGTGGCTTTGGTCTTGTATGCCGTGCCGTAGAGGCAGCCCGCGTCCGTGGTGCCTTCCTGTGTCCATTCCCCGAACTTGTCCCACACCGCATCGTCGTTCCGCAGTGCGGCGAACAGTTTCCGAAGTTCTGTGCGGACAACCACCCTGTAGAGCGGGTTCCGCAAGGTCGTGGCTGCCCGCTCGAGCCTGCGGACTTGGTCTGCTGTGTAGATGGCGGGCAGCCTGGCGGACGCTGGCGCCTCGCGTGCGTGGGCCAGCGCGAGGTGCTGGACGCAGACTTCGCCAGCCGGGAGCGGCGGCGCTAGCCCGGCGGCGCGATTGAGGAATCGCAATGACTGCAGCCGTGCTGCGGGCATGGTGGGGGCGGCCCCCCCGTCCAGCAAGTCCATGACATACCTTACGAGGAGCTCGACCGTTGCCTCGTGGTCCTGGAAGCTGCCGTGGTCGACCCCGGGGCGCTCCTCTGAGGCCCAGTCGAGGAACTTTTCGATGTTTGCCACGTGGATGAGGAGCGTGCGGGCCGACCAGCGCCGCAAGACGCGCTCCTGGTGGCGCGGCCCGAGGTCGGGGCCGAGGCGCTCAGAGAGCTTCCAGGTGCTCCCTCCGACGGTGCGCAGGACCCGGTCCCAGCGCGGCAGGACTCGCTGCAGCAGGTGCTTGCGTTTGTCGGTGAAGCGGAGGACGAGCGGCCTCAGACAGGAGCCCACTCGCCGCGGATGTCCCGGGCCCCGCCCCTGGTTGGGCGCCGGCCGAGGGCGCCTTCTGGGTGCGGCCGAGGAGGCGGGGCGGCGTTTGCGCCGGGCGGTCCCAGTGTCGGGGCGGGCTGGCTGGTGGGGGACCAAGCCAGGCGGGGGTGCAGCGTGGGCGGCGGCCGGGAGGGCGCCCTGGGTTGGCGGCGGCGCAGCGTGCACGGGAGGCGGACCCAGGGCGGGGGCGGGCCGGGCGGGGCTCCCAGCCGGCGGGCCGGTTGGCCGCCCGCGTTTGTAGAGGGGGTGGGCCCCGGGTGCCGGGCGCGGGCCCAGCGGGTGTTGGCGCGCGGTGCCCCAGCCTGCCCGGGCCACGCGCTGCTGCATCGCGTCCGCCGGTCCGGCCTCGCCAACTGCGCCGGCGGCCTCGCCCGGCGGGTGTCGTCCTGGGGCGGCTCGAGGCAGGCCCATGGCCGCCTGCCGCCGAAACAAGCAGAAAGCAGAATAACACGCGCTTCCGCCGCGTTCGCAAAGCGCACGTTCCGCGGGGGGGGGGGGGCCGCGGCCTGCGCGCGCTCTCTCTGTGGAAGCGCCGAGCGCGCGCGGTTCCTCCCGCTCCGCCGTCAGCCCCCTATGCCCTAGCCCAACCTAACCCAACGCCGGGGCAGAAGCGAGGGTCTGGCCAGACGCGTTCGCCGATCGGCGCGGGCAGCCCGATTTCAAGGAAGCGAAACTCGCGCGGGGTGTTGCAAGGGCGGCGAAGAAGTATTCGCAGGAATTCGTGCGCATCTGGTTGGACCAGACATGCCGCGAAAGGCTGCGGCTGGCGGGGTGCGGGGATGAGGTGGTGGGAGGAGGGGCTGGCGGCGACGACTCTTCCGAGGGCGGCGGCGGCGGCGGCGGCGGGTCCTCTTCGGCAGCGGTGCGGGCGGTGGACCAGCGTCGGGGTCGGGCTCTGGTGCGCAGGGGCCGGGCGACGGTGGCGCGGGCGGCGACGGCGAGGGGGGCGCGGGCGGGGGTGCGGGTCGGCTGCTCGGCGGCGGACCCAAGAGGCCAGCTCCCGAGGGGCCACGGCAGCGGACTCGCAGGGCGGCGAGAAGGGACCGGGAGCGGTTGCAGCAGGAGCGGCTGCGGAAGGAAGAGGAGGAGCGCCTCGCAGGGAAGACAGGCAGGGCAGGGGACGTGGAGGTGAACGTGGCTCTGGATGACCCTCACGTGAGCGAGGAGGGCACCTTGCCGGCCTGGCTCCTGGACCCCGCGCCGCTCGCCGCGGGCAGGTGCGTCGCGCGCGTCTGGCGCCCGTACAAGGGCGGATGCGTTCTCTGGCAGTGCAGCAGGAGCCCGTGCAAGGGTCAGGGAGTGTTCTGTGGGAGCCACGGCAGTCCCGAGCAGCGACCCTTCGGGCTGTGGGACCCGGACAAGCGCCACAGCTCCCTGACGCGCGAGTGTCCGGAACGGTACGGCTTGGCCGTGAAGGAGGCGCGGTTGCGCGAGACGCAGGCCGGCGGCGCCCCGCCCGTGCCTACCCCAGCCATCGCTGCCGCTCGCAAGGCGCGCGTGCCCAGGCTCCAGCCGAAGTATGTGCCTCTGCCGCGTGGCGAGCGCCACCCTCTGCGGGCGTTCAAAAAGGCCCCGGAGGCTCTCCCGCCGTTCCCGTGCCGCCTTTGCGACCAGAACTTCGCCACGCATGCCTGCTTCATGACGCACGTGCAAAAAAAGCACCACGGGTGGCCGGAGTACAGGAAGCGCCTGTTCTACCTGGCCGAGCAGTGGCCGGAGAAGGACGGAGACGTGCGGCCCGTGAGGCCCCAGGAGTGGCGGCAGTGCGTGGAGGCCTTCTCTGAGCACCTCGTCACGGGGTCTCACGACTGGCCGGCCTGCGCAGCGCCCGCCGACGTCTCGGGGGACGCCGCCGCCGCCGCTGCCGCGCCGGACGCGCCGCGCGCCTGGTGGAAGCCGCCAGGCGCGGACGGGGCCGTGCCGCCCGCGGGCGTGGACATGCCGCCCGTGGACTTGGACGCGCTGGGCGCTGCTCCGGCGGCGTCGGACGCCGAGGGGCCCGAGCCTGGGCAGAGTCGCCGCGCCGTGCGCTCGAGGGTCGCCTGCTGCGTCTGCGCTCGTCTCCACTGGGCGGACGAGCTGCAGCGCGTGCACTTCTGGCAGCAGCCGGACGGCGCCGGGGAGCGTTCGCTGCTCTGCGACGAGGTGCCGAAGCGGCCCGCGCGCGCCGAGCTCGAGGCGGCGAGGGGAGAGGCATCCGAGGCCGCAGGCGCGCAGGCTCAGGCCATGCGCTTGACGCAGCGGCAGCGCGCCCACGCGCTGCTGGACCCGGCACGGTACCACGCCCGGTGGCGCTTCGTGCGCGAGGGCCCCGACGGCGTCGAGCGCCCGGGCGGCATCCCCCTCGAGGAGCTGGAGGCGTCCGCAGTGCGCGACCCTGGCCCAGACGGGAAGCTGTGGCTCTTGCACAAGAAGTGCTTCACGATTGACAGGCGCCAGTCAGACGGGGTGCTCGTGGCCGACGCGAAGCAGAAGGTGCCCATCTGTGCAGGGTGTCACGGCGCGCTCACCAAGAGGTTGCCCACGATGCCGACCTGCGCGCTGGCCAACGACCTCTGGATCGGGCGGCTGCCACTGCCGCTGCGGAATCTCACGCTGGGCGCGAAGCTTCTGCTGCCCATCGCGCGGGGCATCGTGCGGCGGTTCAACTGCAAGGCCGATTCTGGCGAGTGGGCTCCAATCGACCAGAAGATCAAGGCGTACGTGGGGAACTTCGTGGCGTTCCCGCAGGCGGACGGCGGTCGGCAGGTGCTGTCGCTGCCGCCGCGGGAGAGCGACCTCGTCGAGTTCGTGCAGATTGTCTTCGCGGGGTCCGACCCCGCCACCCTGCAGAAGGCGCTATTGGAGGAGCTCGGCGTGCCCCTCGCCGATTTCAGGCGCGCTTACGAGTACCTCCGCGACACGAACGAGCAGTACGCCGCGGTGCGGTGGGACGAAGAGGCCGCGCGAAACTTTGCGGACCCCGGGGGCGACGGCGATGGCGACGGCTCCTCGCTCCTGGGCCTGCCTCGCTGTCTCGCGGCGTGCGTGGCCGCGGGGGGTAAGGGCGGCGACGCTCGCCAGGAGGGCCCGGCCGATGCCGCGCAGCCCGGCGCGGGCTCGGCCCCGCCGAAGCGGACGAGTGCAGGCGCTGCGAGCGCGGAGGGCGAAGCGAACGCGGCGGCTGACGGCGGGGGCGAGGCAGGGGGCTGGGGCGGGGACCCCACCGGTGAGGACGCTGCGGGCGCTGGCGGGGAGGACTCAGAGGGCGACGAGGGCAAGGCTGGTGAGGGAGGGGGCGGCGAGGGTGTCGAAGAGGGCGAGTACTGCGCCGCAGTCGCGGACTCCGACATGCTGGCCGATCTGGACAAGCAGTGGCAGAACGTGCACCTCAGCCTCCAGAGGGCGGAGGTGATTGTGCGCGAGAAGCAGCGCGCGGAGGCACTAACGCGGCAGTGCGACGGCATGGAGAATTTCCAGGACCGAGATTCCGACCGGCGCTTGGCGGAGGCTGCGAAAGAGGCCCACAAGGCTGCGAAGTTGCTCACCAACTGCAAGAAGGAGGCACTCACGAAGAAGCTGGAGCAGACGGAGCAGAAGATTCAGGCCACGCGGCCTCCTCCGGGAGTTGCCGGGAAGAGCGCGGCCGGTGGCGGCGGCGGCGGCGGCGCGCCGGACGGGGGCGCTGAGGGCGGGGGGGCGAGGCGTGCGGTCCGGGTCGTCGTGCCCACTGGAACCGAGCCTGTCAGCATGTTCTCCCCCGGTTTCTGGAGTGCTTTCGACCCCGTCGCGTTTCCGTACGGCGACGGCGTCTTCGGACTCGAGAGGGAGGCGAAGTTGACGTACGACGAGTGGTGCAGGTGCCTCATGGCTCGCGAGGAGCTCGAGTACGAGGTCGCCGACGACGTCTCGGCACCCGACGCTGCGCGGGCGCCCGCGCCCGACGCCGCGTGGGCGCCCGCCGCGTCTGACTCGCCCGTGCCGCGCTGGCGTCGCCACGCTGACCTGCTCACGGCCCAGTATTGCCTCTGGCGCAGGAAGGCTATCATTCAGTCGGCCAGGTTATTCGTGCGCAAGCAGCGCCTGGGGGAGTACATCGCGGACCTCGCCGCACTGACGCCAGAGGAGCTGGCGCAGGTCGTGGCCGTGCTCGGCAGGGGGGCGGGCATCAAGGAGGCCCTGGGCCACGAGGGCGTGCCCCGGAACGTCAAGAGCGCGCTGCGCAGCATGCTGCTCAGCAACCGTGATGTTGTCGGCTCCGACGCGCACCGGACCACGCTGCGGCACATCAGTACCAGCTACACCCGGCTCTTCGGTCCGCCCCTGGTGTTCACGACGCCGAACATCGCGGACACTCGGAACCTGATGGTGTCCCTGATGTACGAGGGCGCCTCCGTGCAGCAATGGCGGCTGCTGGAGGAGACTGCTCCCGTGATGCCTTCGACGCGGGACATGCTGCGGCGGGTGGCCGCTGACCCGGTGTCGCAGGCCATGGTCACGAACCTCATGCTGGAACTGTTCCTGGAGCATGTCGTCGGCGTCACGCCGCAGCGCGGGGCCACGGGCGTCTCCGACGGCGCGGCCGCCACGGGGGCGCGTGGAGCGTTCGGGCTCGTCCGCGCGTTCTTCGGACCCGTGGAGTCGCAGGGGCGCGGCGGCATCCATCAGCACATCCACCTGTGGCGCCTGCACCCGATGACTGGCGCGTTCCTCGCGAGGCTGCGCGCGGGGGACGTCGAAGGCCTCGAGGAGCGTTTGAGGAAGTGGAGGGAGGCCGTGCTCGCCACGGTCGGCAGCGCGCAGTTCGATGCGGCGGAGGAGGTGGGCCGGCAGCTGGGCTTGGACGGGCCGGACCGGCTGCCGCCGCTTCCGCTCGGCCCGCGGGATCGACGACTCGCGTTCGCGGACGGGAAGCGAGAGGAGAGCGACCTCCAATTGAAGCACAATACCATCGCTGGCGCCTCG